CATACCACTGATTAATGGGTGAAATCCAAGTACCATAACAAAACTGCACTTTTCCTTTTCAAGGTAACAAGCTCTTACATTCCAACATTGTTTGGAAGACATTGTAAAACAATAAAATCATGAAACATTTGACACAAAAATGGGAGGTTTAAATATAAAACAAAAGATTCTACACTGAAAGCTCTGATGAACTGTAATTAAAAAACATCATATCATAAAAGACATAACTAGGTACTCCTCCAGACATAGATACAGCTCATTGTGGAACACACAGTAATTATTATGAAACATTGGTAGTTAAACATTCATTATGGAAAAATTGTTATGAAATAGAAATCTTTTCATAAGACAGTCTAGATGGCACCTATTAATTTAGCTGCATATAGGACTGATAAACACATCATCCTCTGTGCAATACCTAACTTTGCATTGAATCTGTAAAGCAAAGACATCATCAGAACTACACTGCAAAGTCTTTTTCTCTACTACAGTTCACAGTATCGCCCTTTACATGGCAGATATATTTGTGTGTGTATATATATATACATATATATATACACTATATTTGCAAAAGTCTCTTTTACTATTGAATAATATTATTTTATCTCTTCGTTATTCAGCAGGTAATGTTTTAAACTTAGACCTGTTTCCCTATATGAACTAGTGTTAGAAAATTCTATCACATAGGTCATCCTATATCACGACTTAAATCTGTAGATTTGTCTCACATAATCCTTGATATTCTATTTCTATGTATGTTACCAATATGTGATTGTGCAACTTAAAAGGATTGAAAATCACTAGATCTGAAGGTTGATAATAAATTTTGGCAGGAAAAAAAAAGGTATTTTATACAACACTACAAAAAAACCAGACTCCTTTGCTCAGTATTGAATATATTCCATAGTACTTTACTATTAAGATAATAAGGAATTTATGGTGCTGGTCGCAAAACCAGACAAACTAAAAAAACCCCAACAAACAACAGTTGCATGTTGCACTACATGATGCTTCTGCTTAGAAATAAACATTCTGTCAGGTTTAAATTATTGAATAGCTTATTGATAATTATTTTTAAAAGGCTCAAGAAAACATATCTCTCCTACAAAATATGGCAAGATACATTTTCAAAGCATAAGAAGTCAGCCATCTAACACACACTAGTGCTGGGACCTGCCTGCCAAACACACTGTGCATCAATCATTCTGAAAATGTCCTTCAGTGATAAGAATAGGGGTAAAACTTTTGGACATACACATAAAGATTTTACATGAGGTGTCCCAGAAGATAACATTTGTGATTTAAGATCAGCTGTGGTTTCAGAAGTACCTGTATCACAGGAACACCTCAGAAATTAGTTTACTCTCTGGTTATATAATCCACTAAACTCCACTGATCTTTCAAGGAACTTTCAACATGTCTGGATCTTTAAAACAGACCTTTAAAGAAGGTATACAAGGGAAGTTATTAATTGCAGAACATGTCTCAATACTTCAAGTGCTTTATATACACGTGATCCTGCTAAATTACTTTTAAACCAGTTTCTAAAAACATTAGCTTTCTCCTTAGTAAAGGAATGGTACAGCACCTTCAAAATTATGCAGATAGTATCAATGGAAGATGGAGAACCCTGATCTCAACTACAGCATAATAGGAAAATAGAAATATGGAGATGGTACTCTGTACCACAGAATGAAATAGTAACAATAGTGGGGCTGAAGTGAGATTGCTTTATGAAGTAAAATATATGCTTATAAAAGTCATCACTGTAGACACACCAAAAAAAAAATCTTATTAAAGTGATAAAAGTCAATGCAGTTAATGTGTATTTTGTTAAAAAAAACCCTACTACTAGGAAGAATCTTCAAAAAAGATTACAGTTACACCCCTGGGCATCACTGATTTACAGTTCAGAGTATTTTTTTTGCTGTCACAGCGAAAGTCAAAGTTACGACATGTAAGACTATATTTCTGTGAGCATCTGGAGCTAGTCCTAATGACATAACAAGGATAAATGTAATGGGAATGTCTTGGCAAAAGATTTTTCCTCCTTGTCTGATTTGAAGAAAACTGATAAAAATTGAGTCTGATATACCAAATCTATTTACGATTGAACAGTTGTTGTACTAACTTCCTTAACTTTGAAAGCACAACTAACATACTTCCAAATACATTCCAATCTTGGACTTAAAATTATGTGAGGTATCTCAGAGACTTTACCTAGCCCACATCTGAAAACTAAATATTTTATCCTGCTTCTAAGATACTAATCTACATACACTAACTTGTTTTGTAAAAGGTAGAGGTCAAATTTGCACATCTGGGATTAACATGGGCAGCTAAGTACTCAATTTGAGATGAAACATCACAGCATCAAATGAAATCAGCCTAATAAAATATGTCAACCTTTGTCTTTCTAAACACAGCACAGTCAGTAGAAGACATTTCGTAAATTTTCTAGTGTTTCTAAATTTGTAAATAGGAGAAATCTAGCTAACATCCTCAAGACTTAGTGATATAGTGAGCTGGACACTTAGTATGGCAGTGGAGAAAATTAATAGTGAGTACCCTCATCATTAAACATTCTTCTGTACATCATGAAGTTAAAATATAAGAGTATGAAAGTAAGAAAAGTTTTGTGACTTTTGACAATTATTAGTAAGAAAAAGGTTATAACAATTGCCAAAAAAATCACAAAAGTTGACATGTTACCTGGCTATGACAAAGAGCACACAACTGACACCCAAGTAAGCCAGCAGAATATACATCCAGATATCAGGGGAGAGAGGATTCAGGAAGGAGAAGACGCCCGGGTTTGTACCATTGGGCTTGCGGTACAAAATACTTATTCCAAGAGTCATAAATGGCTTGGAAAAGTCGATGACCTTCTCTCGAACATAGGTTATTGCCAATGGTGCAACTGCAAGGTCAGCTTTCTGTGAACAGAAACAGAAAAAGAGAAACAGGCCATAAGTCAGAGGAAAAAGGCTGAAGCAAACAGTCAGATTTGGTAAAACACAAACTTTACACGGAGGGTTGTCCTTGTAAAAGGTAGGCTGATATTTCAAACTCTCTTGTCCCTAAAAGTAAGGAAACAGATTTATTCGACTTCCTGTTTGCTCGTGACATAACAGAATTCTGAAGTGCTGTTACAGGGATAGATGCAAAGAAAAATACTGTAAATGAAGAAAAATACTGTATCCTGCAGAAAACATGAACATCCATTATCATGTCTTCTAAAACTTTTTCAGATGTACATGTCAGCATATGTCTTCTCTTTGTTCCCTGTGCTCATTTAGAAGCCAGTATACTGGTGAAGCAGATGTGAATGCACTTGTAGACGTGAAGGGCAAGGGACAGGAAGTAGTTTTGCTTCTTTTAGCATAAAACTATTCGTAAAAAATTAAGAACATTTAAAAATGGGAAGTGCATCAACACAGTACTCAAGGTGCAGCCTCACCAGTACAGGGGCACGATCAGCTCCCTGCTCCTGCTGGTCACACTATTCCTGCTGCAGGCCAGGATGCCACTGGCCTTCTTGGCCACCTGGGCACACTGCTGGCTCATGTTCAGCTGGCTGTCTACCAGTACCCCCAGATTCTTTTCTGCTGGGCAGCTTTTCAGCCACTCTTCCCCAAGCTTGTGGCACTCACAATTCTGCATCCATCTTGCCAGTTTTTCAAGGTGAGATTCTGTAGGAAGCTTTATAAAATTTATCAAACTCTACGGGACACTTTTAAAAATCAGCTGAACATCTGTCAGTTTTTCCAACCTTGTTTTCTTGAAGTGCATCAGATATTTTGAGCAATACTTCTAACAGTACAATCTCAGTACTACCTGATCTTCTGTCTTCCCCCTTCAAATTAAAGGGTAATTGTATTTTCTCCCTTCATATCAATATATGCACTCTCAGTATGGTCTACTTTCTATATTACTGCAGAACTCTGTAAGCAGAGATTGCCAGACCTTCCCTTCTTTTTGTGCCACATGAGGATTGCACACATTCTCTACACAGCACATAAAGGTTTCCCTGTCTTGCTGCCATGAGCAGTTACAAGATGTTCACCCACCTACAAACAACAAAGTATACACAATTTATTTCTGCTACTGAAGCCCTGGAGTCATGCTAAAATCCTCCTCCTTCACTTGTTCATTTACATTTTACTTCCAGGTAGCTTGTTGGTTGACTACATAAAATAAAATTTAAAAGAAAAAGGAGGGACATTTTTTTTGCAGTTGCATCATGCTGAAATTTGGTATATAAGCCCTAAGAAGACAAGTTTTAAAATTATACTGAATTTTATCTATGCATGCAGCTACAAATAACTTCAGTAAGAAACCTGCACATAAAAGTTGACTACTGTGTGGGCCACAGAACAGTCAGCTGGTATCTGCAGATATTGATATTTTGCATGTGAAAATTAACTCTATAAAATATAACCTAGAGAAACTGCCACATTCATTTTTGGGAAAATTGAACTTTGAAAACATTTAATAACTTCTGGTAATAAAATTAGGGAAAGAAAAAATAAACACTGATTAAATTTTCTTTTTATGATCCTTTTCTGAAGAAAAAATTGTCTCACCTATTTTATCCAAAGGAATGAAAAGTTTAAATACAATCTAGACATAGCAACCACAAAATGGCCAATAGTTATTTTTAATTAGACCCTACAATTACAGAATATTCTGCCATAATAATGAAGATATTTAACCTATGGAAATAGAGTCAAAATATAAATTTCTTCAGTCACATCAAATATATATATTTTTTTAATTTTAACCTGAGTACTGACATTGATTTTACATTCCCTTTGGAGAAAATGCATCCCTAAGCTAAACAGAGGAAGGCTAAAGCCCAGCTCCAATTCTTCAAACCCACCTTACAGGCTTCTACTGCACAGAAAGCTTGTGCATTATCCCTGTTCACAGAAATTAATCTCTGTGTAACTGATTTGAAAAACTAAGTTCTGTAGTTTGCCTTTAGCTTGTCATCTATCCTAGATTGGCTACTTCATGCTGCTACATTATGGAAAATTTTACACCCTGTGAAAAGTTTTTGGTCATGACACAAGATCTTAATTTCTTTTTGAAACCAATAAGACTTTATTAGGGCTTTACTGCTATTTTTATTTTAACTAGTCACTTAAATCACTTTGCTATAAACTAATTTTCATGGTTTTCTCCTACCTTTAATGGGATCATAGGACAGTTCAGATGGGAAGAGACATCAGAAGGTCTCTAGTCTAATCTTCTGTTCAACACAGGGTCATCTACATGATCAGACAAGATTGCTCCAGGCTTTATCCAGTCAGTTTTGAAAACCTCCAAGGAGGGACACTATATAACGTCTCCAAATAACCTGTTCCATTGTTTTTCTGTCCACATAGTTTAAAACTTTCTACAGATAAATAGTGGAGCAGGTTGCTTAGGGAGGTAACACAATTTCCATTCTTCAAGGTTTTCAATTTATGCCTACTGTCTTTTGTCTTCCTGCTAATTAACAGCACCATGAAGAGCCCAGATGCATCTTCTTGATACTCTTCTCCCAGATCCTGGAAAGCTGCTAGTAGAAGTTGTTAACTTTGCGAAATATAAGTAACACACCATAAAGCCCAATACAAATCTGGACTAGATAGCTGAGTTCAGATGTCATGCCATCTTATTTCCGGGATCCTGATTAAAAGTCTTGAACAGCTGTGGCAACTACTGATGGTGTCAATTACAAGCCTTCAGGTCTTAAGAGAAGACCTGAAACCACATAGAAACCACCAACATCATCTCCCTAGAGTTCTATAAAAAAAAACAAACAAAAAAAAAACCAAACCAAACAAACAAAACCACAAAAGTTTGTGCAGATTTGCCCACTGCTACAGAAACAATTTGCTACATTTATGAATTCCTGATCTACCAAGCATGCAATTAAGCTCCTTAACCATTCCTTCTGGGAAGAATAAGGTTAAAATATGAGCTGAGTAAGCAGGGAGGATGAAGGGAAGATTGGGAAAACTGGTACAGACCAAGTTTCTCTGTAAAGTTGAACTTATTTTGATACTTGCAGTGATTGAAAACTGTATGCTGAAGTACAGATATTGTAGAAACAGATGAAGTGAACAGATTAATGAAAAGCTATTAAAAAAAAAATCCCACAAAAAAAACTCCACAAGTGGCTGAAGACTTGACATACAAAACAGAATTGCAAACCACCTCTTTGTAGGAAAAGCATGTATTGGAATAGAGAAGTTGGTTCACCAATTTTCTCCTGGTAATTTAATTTCTATTAATGGGGGTCAATCTCAATGACCAACCTTTTTTTGAACCAAAAGAGAAAGAATAAAATGTAGACACATGAATTTACCTAATAAAAGGGATAAGTCTCAATGGAAATTAACTGTGGTAACAGAGAATTCCAATTTTCACATACCTTTCACTTCAGCAGACATATACATGGAAATAATAATCCCTGTGTCGTTTGCTACTATTCCTCACTATCATTACAGCAACAAAAGTGATTGCAAATATCAGACAACTGTATGAGGATATGAAAAGTGTAATACTTTTATGAATACAACACTAACCATGCATCCAAACAGTTCCTAATAATTACTGTAAACATAGATGATCCTTGAGCTAAAAGAGTTCTCTTTTGGAGTCTTATTTGAAAAACTTCATGCCACTGTCTTGATGGGCCATGACTGGTCTTACCACTTCACTGGTAATGCAGTGAAAATGAATTCCAATTATTCACTGTACAGTTTTTATCTGTCACTGAAATTTAATCATTTTATATAACCAAGTGCATTAGCCAGGCATGTCTAAATAGCTAATAATTATAAATGGGAATTATACTGGTTAGACATAAAACATGTTCTGCCTTAATGCTCTAGTACTAATTCTTTCACTCAGCCTCTGAAGTATTTGGGCACTAATTCCCATTTCATTTGGCCCAATGCTGACATTCTTTTGCCAGTCACTTATCAAGGAACATTTGAAAATTTTTCCATCATTTCCAGAAACTTGCAAATCTGTGACTGGCCATACCCAAATAAATAAATAAATAAATAAATAAATAGAAATTAGAGGGAGGGGAAGTGGGCAAACATCCTATCTATGAGTGTGAGCAGGCAGGAAAATCATCAAAGCAAGGAATATAAACTGCACACTAACAATTTTACCCAGCAAAACATGTTCTTTATCATGAGGGATCTGGGCTACTGAAGTTACTTAGCGTAATTCCTGAAATTGAGCTTTATTTTTAATAAAATCTTGAGTTATCTAACAGAATATCAAAAGGATATGGATGTTCTTCCAAAAAGTAAGAAAGTAACTTCAGTTCTTTGGCAACTGGTAGGATTTATTAAGACTGGTAAATTCCCATTTTTCCAGGGAAATATCAGATGTAGCCTTTGTCAGAGAGTGACTAAGTAAACATGCAAATTTAGAGTCACCTTATAAATAAGTAGACAAATGTTTGGCTGTTGGTTTGAAGTAACAGTAAATCTGTAGCTGCTAATAACTCTATAGTCATGTAGAAGAGGATCTTTCTTTGATCTTTCACCTTATAGCAAACAAACAAAAAAACAAACCCAAGAGGGTAGTAGATGCACAGTACAGCATATTTGAGTGAATTACAATGATAAATTCAGACATGCAAAAAAATAATTTGTAGACAGGTTCTGTAAGCCTGTGAATATATTCAGTTTGCTTCAAGTGAAAAACAAGTTCAAACAAAACAGACATGGTTAGTTGCTTGGCAGAGAGACACCTGCTGCTCCTTATTCAGCTTGGGACAAATGACATCAGAAATAAAAGGTCAAAACACTTGAATTTCTGGATTAGGGAATTAGCAATTAGACTAAAAGGCACAAAAAGCACAAGTGATATTTTCTAGCATATTACAAATTATCATCATAAATTATCCTATAGACTCCAGGACAGATTTCACCCAGAAATGAAGTGTTGCTTTAATGAGGAAAAGAAAGCTTGCAAACAGTAATAACTGCAAGATAATATGAATATTTAAAACAGTAAATATATAAATGAAAAATACATCACAGGCACTTAACAGTTAAAAAATATGGATACTTTATGGTGACACACAACTGGAAGGTTTTGGAATACCATTTAAAAATATTAAGTAATGTGAATTACTATCTACCTTTAAAGAAAGGGTTGTGCTGGAAAACTGGCCACATAACCAATGTAACTAATAACGAATACTGAAAATTCAGAGGTTGATGGTTCAATGTAAAACAATAATGTTTAACCTGCAATGTAAATAAATAAATATGAAATGAAAATACTCTCAGAACAGGTGTCCTTCAAATGGCTAAACAGATAAATCAGGGAAGAGAGAAATTATAATCCAAGCATAAGACAGCTGAAAATAGAAATAGATAAGGATAGGAAAGCAGAAGTACAAACAGTAGTATGTAAACATATGCACAGAGTACAGGAAAAGAAGTATAATTGTCTTATCTTTTACAGAGGTAAAAATAAAAGAAAATTCTGAGATACTAGAAAATAATGGAAAAAAAATGTTCAGTAGAAATCAGTAGTCATTCAGCCTACTGGATGCCTATCTTCACAAAAGTTGCTGGTTCCAGCTGCAAATAAAATGTAACTGCAGACTTGCCAAAACACTGTAAAGTTACTAAGGGCATATTTAAACAGATTATTAAAAAAAAAAACAAAAAACTTCTCTTTGGTATTTTTTTTTTATATTTATATAAGTTGTGTATCTTTCTAACCACATAATACCTAGAAAATATCAATTTATTCTTGAATTTCAAAAGCTACAGACTACTTTCATAAAGATATATACTATAGTATTCTTTCTGAAATTAAATGGCCAACAGACAAAAGGTAACAAACAGATAAAATATAAAATAAATTCTAAAAATGTTTTTTTCAAATAGATATAAGGACTATGGCAACTTCCAGAGCTGTCTTCATTTTGTGAACCATTTAGTTTAATTAGAAACTCACATTGAAAAATGTTGACAGAATCATTTCACCTTTCTAAAAGAAAAAGTAATTGACTTTATTGCATTACTTTATACAAAAAAAAAAAAAAAACAAACAAAAAAACCCCAAAAAAACAAAAACTAAAAACACACAACTTTTTGACACTTAAGTTATATTCTCTAAAGGAAAATGAAGACTGAAAAGCTAAGCTAATGGGCCAAGTGAAGTACTAGCCTTATGAAAACATCAAATATGGTAACTGTCTCTCTGGAATTCTCTAAATTCCCATGTTCTGAGGTCTGAAGTGTTGCTTGCTAAGAAAATAGACTGATTATATGCATGAAGATAGAGGGCACAGATGCATAAATAAATTGCATGTATTTAAATAATTACAGAAGAATAGATAAACCAGAGGAAAACTTAAAGGAAAATCGTGACAATTGATAAATTGAGAGAGACTAGTAAAAGTTATGATCTAGCTGAAGAAGTTAGACTATATCTTCCATGATTCACTAACTCCTAAGTAAACATAATTTCAAAATCCAAAATATTTTTTTATCTAAGCTTAGTTATGTGTTATCTGTGAGGAAAAAGCAACAGATGTTCCTTTTTGTGTTATCAAGAGGAAAGGACTGGAAAAGCTCCTGTTCCACATACTTCACTGCTGCAACTTCTTCAAATGTGTTTTGATTTCAAGATTAAATTAATGAAAAGCTTTGGAGGGCTTACTAGTGATTGTTCAAGAAGGCTTTAGGGCTGAATAATAAAAACATATCAAAACGTGGGTTTTCTTGGCTGCTGAAGAATTTTATAAGAAATACTTCCACAATTTCCACCTCAGTCATGGAAATTTAGTTCTGGATGATGATAATACCTAACAGTCATCAAATCTAACAGCTATGCATGACTATATATTTATAGATATGTGAAAATATGCATGTATAAAGATGGACAGAGAGTCTATGTAAATATCTGCCTGTTTTCTGTATCATTGTACTAGCTGTAATAACACAAACACATATTTAAAGATAATATAATACTCCCATGCATTCTTCTTAAAAGTGTGAAGACAGATATAATCAACATCTGTTGCAACAGCAAAACTAGACTATTTAAAAACACAAAGATAACAACCCTTCTAGTAAATATGAATATTTTGATTAGCACATACTCTACCCATCTGCTCAAAACTTAAAGCAAATTGTAGCAAGATAATGAATATTTTTCTTCAAGCTATTCAAGTAGTTTCTGCCATCATTAGAAGTTTCACTTGAGTTAGATTTAGTCTCCCCTTTTTCCTATTTTAGATGACAGTGACATGCAAATATGTTTTATCTTATTCTTTCATCAAATGTCTCTATGTCAAGCAATTTGCTCAAATAAATGCAAAAAGAGTCAATGACATAATTTTCAAAATTACTAAGAGGCTGAACTCAACTGGCATAACCAACTGGGAAAGCATGTTTTGAAGGACACTAAGAAATGCCTCTTTTACCCATTCATAAGTAATTGTGATCATAATGGTACCTGTTTTGACACAGAGTTCAGTATTTTGCTGCTTCAGTGTATGTTAATACTTACTCCTTGCACTTCAATATTAATGTTACAAGAAAGACATTCCTCTTCTGTATATCAAATAATGTATATATTTATCTATAATATTAATATATATCCACTGAATTTTCTCTAAGATCGTTTTAGATCCACTAGCATAACAGAAGCCCTGATTTCTATTAATGAAAAGGTAGGGTTTTTTCTCAAAAAACTCTATATAATTGTGCTCAGAAATCAATTTGAAATACTATCTATTTCCCTACTTTCACATAGACATATACCACAGAAGACCTAAACCAGTTTGGCAGAAACAAACAGCGCCTAGTGGCAAAATAAAAATGTAGAATAGTCTTCATTTAACAAAAAAATTCTACATTCTAGAAAGTATTGATGTGAATTGACTTGCATCACTTCTTTAAACATTTGTGTTTTCCAAAACAGTACTATACAAACAGCAGCATCATAAAGTATATAAATAGAATTGAAATTTAAATTAATGGTAGAAATCTTTCAAAAATTAACTTACGTGATCAATTAGTTCACGAACCATTCCATTCCACTGTCCACTGGCATCTTCCTGGGCTCCATATTTTCCATCCTCCACCAGCCTAATTTCATAGGAAAATCCAAGGATAGTAGACAGTTCCCTGAGGAGGTCAATGCAATAACCTTCAAATCGATCATTTCCGTACAAGGGTTTGTCAGACTTCTTGAACATAACATATGGCTCTTCCTGTAAAAATTAAGAAGACAGAATGGATAATAAATCCTCCACACCTTTCCTTTCTTTCTAACTTAAAGTAGTGATACTACTACCCCTACAAAGAACTAAAATAAAAAGTAGAATCATTTCAGCTTTTAGATTTGTCCATCTAAAGTATTTATTTATCTTCCAATTGAAGTTAATTAGAAGACATTCTATTTCTCCCACATCTTCAAGAAATTAATCAGTTTACAGTCTTCACTGGTGGCTGGAGACAGATGAGTGGAATTGAGGCAGGAGTGGAATGAAGTTCAAGAAAGAGAGGAGGATGCAGACTGGATATTGAAAAAGGTATGAGAAGTCTGGGAGAGGCATATTGGCACACACCAATCATGACAGGAAAGTACATAAAAAGAGGATAAGAAAAGTACTAAAAACTGGAAAGTAAATAATTGGATATTCCTTTATTTGCCAAAGAAAAAAAAAAAAAAAAAAAAAGAAAAAAAGAAATAAAAAAAAAATT